TCTTCCCAATAGTCCGATACCCTTGGAGCAAATCTATCAAGACTACCCTTTTAGGATACAAAAAAGCAATCACCACATTTTATGAACCTCTCTGCTTTCAGTTTAACTACCCCCCACATCCCCTTGGAAGCCATGGTTTTGATTAGACCCAGTGTTTTGAAGGTGCCCTCATGAGAGCACTTGTCTGCAGTTATCCACTGACTGCAGAGACAGCCTTGGACACATCTTGTTTTGAATAAATTCATGCAGATATGAACTGGACCCTGGTGTCCAGACTTTTTGATTTATCCTTTTACATGCTCCAGGATTGAAGGGTAAAGAGTCATACGTATCTGTGTCAAACTTAGAGAGTTAGAAAATATATATACATGTGTAGATAATTATATCCCCAGAGAGACAGATAAGAGCCCTAGGGGTGTAGTGGTTATTGTCGCACTGCTCCGAGGGGGAGAGATGACTTTCTACGCCCATAAGGCATTGCAGTCTCATAACCCACAGGGCCAGTTCTACCCTATCCTAGAGGTCACCAAGAGGTCACCAGGAGTCAGAACGGACTTGCGGCAGTGAGAGAGAGAAAGCAAATGAGACAAAGCGTTAAAATAACTTGTGAATCTAGATAAGGGATTGTGAGAGGTATTGTACTTACCTTACACGTTTTTGTAGGTTTAAAACCACAAAGTTAAGCTTTATTCATATAAGATATGACCAGTTTACTTTCCCCAAATAACCAAACAGTCTATACCCCATCCTCATCATGGATGGCCCTGCTGGACAGCTGACTACACTTTTAAAATTTCCAAAGGGCTCTCTGTGTTCTGGATGTAGAAGCAGGACTGATTCTTGGGAGCGGACTTCTCTCTGTTCGGTGAAATTCTTCTAGCCAGCTTTCCTGGCTGTGCATTGGTGTAGGGATACCCTGCATGTATTAAGATATTACTGTTCTCAAGATCAGACATGTCATCGCTTTACCAAAAGTTTTAAAGTTTATATTTGGGTGCTGTGAGTAGAGTGGGGCATACCATATTCAATTTATATGAAGAACATTTTTTTTTAATTTTTGGCTAACCAAGTAGCCAAATCACTGGGACCACTTTTTTTTCTTTAGGGCCCCATCGCGAAGTGCTTCAATTAGGTCTCTAGTCTGAAGGCTTTGTTGCTACTGAAGCAATTTGGATATGTGGAGAGTAGCAGTTTCCCCTAAATGCCTGAACTTCTAGAGGGCCTGGAGTAGGAGGGAGAAGGAGCTGGGTAGAGAGCGCTGATGAAGGAAGCATTGCCAGGTGACTAGGTTAATTGGACATCCTGTATGTAGGCTTTCTTCCAGAAATACGGATAAGCCATTAAGAGATTGTTTGGGAGCGCCCCTGTTCAGTCCCAAACATGTGCTTCTGACTACTGCTTGGAAACAAGAGTGGGAGCCTCGCAGTCTTGTGTTTCTTTTGAAGCGGTAATACGCCCCTGGGAAACTCCCTTCCTCTCCCGGAAGCCACAGCATCTCTCCTAAGGGAGAGGCACTTCTCCAATGACCAAGAGCCTCTTGTGAAGTATGTCAGGACCTGACTTCAGCCTGAAGACTCCCACCCACACCCTCCCCTTATGGAAAATCTGCCTCCTGGGAAGGATTTCATACCAGCAGCCATTTTACATGAATTTGACCTTGTAGGAAATGACAAAAAACTAAAAGATCTAATTTTTTTACCTATGGATCTTTTATCTTCTATATTCTTGCTCTGGAAATGACTGCTGCTTTTGGGTTAACATTGAGAAGGTAGAAATAGGGATTTTTCCCCCCCCCTGAAATCCCTCTGATTGTGTTTAGCATCAGCCAGTCTGTTTTAAATGCGATGACCTCTGTTGCTTATTGGTTTTGAATAAAATGCGTGGACACATTTCCTGCCTTATGGTCACATCATCTGATTTAAAAACTTAGGGAAAAGAATACTGGGGACTGGGACCATCACAAATCCTCTGAACTGTAAGATCATCATTTCAATAAATCACTTGGAAATTCAGTAGCAAATCCTAGAACTGATGGCAGGCTAGAAAGGAAGTTTTCTCATTTTCACATTAGCAGACTTTTGGTTCTTTTCCTAAATGACATTGCAAACATCCTGCCGGTTCTCCCGGATAGGGAGTTAACTTGAACTGCAGGAGAGATTTCCAAGGCCTGAGCTTTCAGCACACATCTCCTGTTTTCACAAGGTCTTTCTGTTCCTCAGGAGGGCAGAATTAATTCAAATATGAGGAGAACTTGGCTGACAGTCTCAGTGGGTCTGGCAGTAGAAACGCCAGTCTGCACAGGAGGTAATTCTGGGCCCTGTGGCCCCAGCAGGGCTTACAGGCCTTCAGGCCTTGCTCACCACTTAACCTGAATTGTGGGGACCAGATTCGCGTTGTGTTAATGCCATATGCCCTTAAGCACTGTGGGTGGAACCCAGAGGTGGAAGAGCTCGGATTCACGGAAGTGACTCTTGACATCTGGTGCCACCAAGCTTCCCCTAGAGAGAGCATTGTGCCCCAGTGCCAAGAAGGGCAGGGCTTGTCTACCAAGGATGGTATGCTGGGGCCTGCACTCTTGACTTCTCAGGAACCCAGTGACCTTGAACCATCTTCTAATTGTGCCTAGAGCCATCACCCTTCCTGGTTTGTGGTTGACCTGCTTGTGCATATTGCCATTTTCTTCCAACATGCTCTTTTTTTCTCATGACAGTATTTGTTGGCTTACTTATTAAGCCTGGGGTGGGATGGGGGTGGAGGGGATTGGAACCCCATCCAGGGGTATTGCAAAAGCAGATACCTACACTTTACCCTGGATTATGGGCTATAGTACAAAAGTTCATAATTTCCAGGCCATTGAGTAACTTTTCTTTCTTCTGGAAAAGAGGTGATAGGCCAAATAAGTTTGCTTAATGCAATAACCTTCTTTTACTTTGCATTGGTATTTGACCAAATTACTGGTTCCTTATTTTCCAGTTTTTTATTGGTCAGGAGTTATACATTCACATGCTAATGGAATCCACTTATGTGACTTCCCTGTTGCCAACAACAAATCTATTTGTTGAGGATCCTGCAAGTGTCAGACATTCTACACATTGTGTTTTGAATTCTTGCAAAGATCCTAAAATAGTGACCATTCTTTTCTAGATGTGGCATCGGAGATAGGAAAGGCTATGTCACAAGGCAAAGATAATCTTGCTGTTAAGCAATAGTCTCCAGACCCGGGCCCTGTAACTCCAGAGCTCACTCTTGTTTCACTGGGTTCTTGTGCTCAGTGTGCAGGAGTCTGCTCACAGCGAGGGCATCCCAAGACCCGCAGTTCCTGCTCTGGCGTGTCAGAGAGACATCTGTTACCTGACATCTGGCAGCCCATGTCATCTAAGGAGGTAGATTGGGCAGGTGAATTCAGTCAGTCCGTGTCTTGGCCTACATTATTTGTCAGCAACTGTGTCTTCTCTTACTGGTGATGTATGAGCTTCTCCCAATAGAACAGCCTCATAATATGACGTCTTTTCTCTGTGGATGACATTAGTGCTTCTCAAACTAGCTTTGGTGAGGAATTCTGTGTCACCCCCCCCCCCAACCCCAATTCCCAATCTGTTGCAGACTGATAACAGAATTGGGAGTAGTGATACCATGAGGGGACAGGGAAGGTGGGAGGAGGAGGAGGAGGAAGGGGGATACCAGTCACAATGATCTTGCATAATCCTCACCCCGTAGGGGGCCTGAACAGCAGAAATGTGGGTGAAGGGAGATAGCGGTCCGTGTAAAACATGAAATCAATATAAGTTATCAAGGAGTCACGTGGGTTAGGGGGTGGGGGAGGGAAAAAAAGGAGTTGATACCAAGGGCGCAAATAGAAAGTAAATGTTTAGAAAATGATGCTGGCGACAGTGTGTACAAATATGCTTGAAACAATTGATGTATGGAATGCTGTCAGAGCTGTAAGATTACCAATAGTGCTGCTAAGAACATTCTTGTGTATATAATTTGGTGAACATATATACATATTTTTGTTAGGAGTAGAACCGCTGGCAAATGAACTTTTATAGTTAGCAGATTGACGAAAGAATTACACTCCTATAGCCAAGTGTGAGCATTCCAGGGGTCCACATTCTTCCCAACATTGAACATTTTTTGGTTATTTTAGTTTCAACCAGTTTGGTTGGTGTTTGGGGTCAATTGCATTTCACTGATGACTTAGTTGAGCACGTTTTTTCACCGTTTATTGACCATTTTACATATTCTCATTCGTGAGTTATTCAGATTGCTCCTATTTTTATTAAATTGCCTAATCTTAAAAAAAAAGCTGTAAGAGCCCCCAATAAATGATTTAAAAAAAAAAGAAAAATTTGAATAAATGGCAATATGGAATAGACATATATATATATATTTATATATATATGCAAGAAACTGTCACAGCAATATCAAATTGCTATGAAAGCTTCCAAACCCATGCTCCCAGCTTCTTTACTTGTCTCATTGTGGGTTGGTGGTACAAATACTTTGTGGACTAACACTGGTCTGTGGACATACTAACTGTATAATTTAGGGAAGGTATAGCCTTTGGAAGAAATGTATAATTTCTACAAACCACAGATTTAAGCTTAAATTTAGAGTAATAGATGGTGTCTTTGTTCAGCTTTAAAAATTTTAATCTGTATCTACAACTTTTTAAAATTATAAAGTAATTCATATTTGACATAAAAGTTCAAGTGGTGTAAAAATGTTCCCCTGACTGCCAACCTTCTCAAAACAACAATCACCAATTCTTAAATTGAAAGTTCATCTCACATGAAAAGCAGAAGGGTGTGGATTAAGATTTATGGAGAGGACAGGAGAGGTATTTTAGAAATCCATCCAGTTTTACACTCATTTCTTTTTTAAGCGGGAAAGTAGAACTTTCAAAAATATCTTATTACTCTGTGTAGATGCAAAGTAAAACGATGAAAACTATTTTTCTCCTCACAGTATTGCTTAACACTGTTTCTCTTTTGTTGCAGAGCCAGATCACATTGATGGATATACCTGTGTTTAAAGCCATCCAACCAGAGGTCTGTACTCGGTCTTTTAAACATTGACACCCCGTAGGATTGTGGCCGGGAAGGAGGATTTACTCACTCATTGTTAGGAAGCTTAGGTTTCTGTCTTGTAGTCTCTATAAGTGCCTGCTAGTGAGAGCTCCCAGGAACTTCCCTTTCTCGCGTTATCTGTTAACTGAGCCCAGGGGTTCTGTAGGGTGCCTCCCAGGAGCAGGGGTTGTTCATAGGCCTTGCCACACCAGTTCCTAGTTCCAGCTCCTCCTGCTGAAAATGTTCACCGTCAAGGAGGGCGTGTAGGCTGAATGTGTTTCTAGAGCGCTTTCTCTCTTTTTGTTGGTCCTCAAAGCTCGTAGTTGCCTTATTTCTGGTTTTGGAACTGGTTGTCACAGCAACGCATGCATGTACGTTGAATACATGTGTATACTTTTAGATATAGCATTCAATAAGAAAAAGAAGTTGATTGTACTTAAGAATATTTTTGGAAATATTTAGCAGTATCTGACAAGGCTATGTAGTTACTTCCTTTCTTTTTCAAAGCAAACACTAGAAATCTAATTCAAAATTGTTTAAAAGGCATAAAAGGGATTGATTAGAAAGAGAAAGCGACACGCTACCAAAGCCATGGGCTCTGAGTCCAGTCAGCCTGGAGAGCCCCCCACTACTCGGGGTGTCTCTGCCTCTTGCCCCTGCATTTCCCTCCCCCTGCCTTCTTTACTGTCTGTGTGTGACGGATTTCCTGTCTGTCCAACCTGGCTACCTCAAGGGCCTATTGTCTATAGGTTTCCCATTTAAGCCACTGTCCCAGTCAGAGATCAGCAACTCCAGTTCAGCTCAGCGTAGTTGCATCACATACCCAGTGCTGGCCTAGTGCGCAATACCAGGGTGTGTGGTCAAAACAAACACACGTGGTGGAGGGGACCCAGCCTTGTGGCTGTGAGTGAGGGACAGCTTTCACAGAAGACGATGCAGATAGGGGGATATGTCAAAATGTGAGTGCTGCAGCCACCGTGTGAACTCAAAACACTGAGGACAATGTCCTTCCTCTTACAGTACAGGGACTGTTAGGACGTTGAGATAGACGATTTTAATGCAGCGTCAGACCGAGCATCTCCACCTTCTTGGGAATGGTATCTAACTAACTAACTGTGAGGAGGATACTGTGCTCCCGTGTTCAGTGTTTTACATGAAGATAGGGCAGCACTTTGCATTTGTGTGTGTGTGTATGTTTTCACAAGTTTTTTTTGGAGGGTCAGAGTTGTTTGTTTTTTGATTGGTTGACTGGATTTTCTGTTCACATGCGCATAATATTTTTTAAGAAAACCCTCACTGGTAGGTCCATTGCCTCTCGGAGCGGGTCTTGACATCTTCACAGTGGTCGGTATGTTTGCGACCATTGTGGCAGCTGCTCATTCCATTCCACCGAGGTTTCCCTGGTTTTCACTGACCCTCTGCCACACATGATGCCCAATGGACCTTTCCTGATGACGTGTCCACATCAACCGAGTTGCGGTCTCACTCTCCTTGCTTCTAAGGAGCATTCTGGCTGTATTTCTTCTAAGACCGATTTCTTCATTGGCAGTCTACAGTGGATTTGACCTTCTTCACAAACTTTGAATGCATCAATTCTCCTGTGTTCCTTGTCCAGCTTTCAGATACAGTGAGGGGACTGAAATAATTAGGATAGATATTATTTCTTCACAACTCTTTCTCCTGCCCTCCTACCTCTCTTAACTTCTTTGTGGATGAGGTATACTTCCTTACCTCATGCACCAGTGGGACATGGGCAGAAACAGACGTGTGCAAATGCTGAGTGGAGGTGCTAAGATGCACGACAAGTTTCTTCCAGCTCTTTTTTGCTCTTTAAACTTGATATTAAACAGGGTATTAAGGATTATTTGAGCCGAGCTAAGCCTAAATTACATAGCAGAGGTCACCTAAACTGTAGCTACTCAGTAGACCTATGAACATGAAATAAACATTGTTGCAAACCACTGAGATTTGAGGGTTTCTTTGCTAAACAGCATTATCTTACAAAAATTTGACGAAAAATAATATTGATCTTCCCGATTCAAACCTGACATTATAAGGTTGCTATTTAATTCCTTTGATTTCTTAATTTTCTTATATACTGATAATTTTGCTTCCAAATAGCATTACGTAATTATTCTTTGCCTTCTTCCCTATCGCATATATGAATGTTTTAAACAAATAGCATCAATATTACTATTAGGCAACTGGTTAAAATTTAAAATCTCTTTGCAGTTCCTTTTGTCCTGAGTTTCTTTTCTTATATTCTCCCCTTCCTGTTGTCACTTCCCAGCCCCAGTGAGTCTCCTTCCTTGTCTTTACCCTCAAAGCTTGCTCCCAGGACTTGAGCAGAAACGAGAGAGAGCGAGAGAGAGAGAGAGAGAGAGAGAGAGAGAGAGAGAGGATTGTAATCCTCGTGTTTAGGACCAGTGTGTCTGCTTTGTGGTGCAGCCACTTCCCCCAAACCGTAAGGCTCTGCCTCGTGAGCACAGCCTTTTGAAGATTCAAATTTCCAAGTGCCCTTGATAATTCGGTGTCTCTGTGGTCTGTCATGGCTGCTCATTTCTACAAGGGGACCACAATAGCATGGTCCCAGGACATGGAGGGAGCAGGCAGACGCTGAGTTGAGGCTGGCAAAGAGGAAGGAAAATGGAAGCTGTCCTAACTGGCCTAGTCCCTGGTGAATGTCAACATGACCAATTTTATTTTTTAAAAAGCTGGCTAGTTAATGCAGACACCACTTTGCAGCCTAATAGATGACAGCTGTGTTTAACCTACTTGTTGTATACAGTGACTGTGGTCTAGAACCCTCTTGCCACTGTGGTGGATTGAATGGCAGGAACTGGGTGGATTCCTGGCTGATAAGCTGCATTTTCTTTTTTTAGCCTTTTTCTTTTTCTCATGGAGGGCATCATTTTGAAGGTGGTCTGTAGATTAATTGCTTCCTTGAGTTTTGGTTTCCGTCATTGACCTTTGCACCATATGGGGAAAGAGACCCGTAGTTGTGTCCTAGGCCGAAGGGATTGCTTCTTACTGGTGATCTGGAAATGGAATGGGAATGTGGAAGGAAACTGCCGGCAGAATGAGCCATCTGTTGACAAGGCAGCCTATTTAGCAAAATGTAGACGTTGTTGGTTCCCGGTGTTCTGGGCAGAAGAAAAGGAGAACCTCTCCCGGTGCTCTGCCTCTCCAGCAGCGGTGCTGTAGGCTAAGGTTAGTGTTAGAACCACACAGGCGAGTCTCCGAGTCTGAGGCAAGTGGGTGCGCTGAGCAGGCCCGAGTGTGACAAATGAATTGTGGTAGGCATCAAATTCATCGGGGTGGGAGGGTTCTCTCTGTGCCTTGTTTTCACCCCCGGTCCTTTTTGCTGCCCGTGTCAGCATTGTTTCATCCCTGTGATTCGACGTTTTGGTAGGCACAGATCCCCTTTACTCATTCATTCATTCACTCATTCATCACTCAGTGTGCTCAATGTTGGAGAACACAATGCAGCGGGAGGGGAAGAGATGTAGATGAAGCATCAATGAAAGGGCAGGGCTTGGATGTACAGTATCCCAGAGGAGGTGGCTTTAGAATAGAAGGAGCCAGGAGAGCAGGGTGGCCAAGAAAATGTGCAAAAGTAGAGACATTTGAACCCAGATGGGTATTTGAGAAGCAATGAGAAGTATGTTATGACTGGGAAAATGCATCTGGGTTTCTCCTGCAAACATGACCTGGCATGATTGCCCATGAAACTGGACTCATGGCGAGGTCAGTCGTAAAGGAGGTGACAATTGGGAACGAGCAGCCAGATTTGGGGCAGGGAGGGCCAGAGGCCCTGAAGTCTGGGATTGCACAGTGCCTGCATCCTGGGGAAGCGCAGACACATCAGGCTGGGTCAAACCTATTGGACCGGGGAGGGACACTGAAGTTGGGTAGGAAGGTGTAGGTTGTGCCAGCTAAGGAACTGGGGCTTTATCTTGCTAGCCTTACATGTTCACCGAAGCATTTTAAAAAGGGGTGACATAGACAGATTTGTATTTCTAGGAAGTTCATTTTAACTGTCTGAGCCAGACTGACTGAAGGCAGGGAGACTGGCTGGGAGGTTTGTGGAAGTCTTATGTGAGACACCGGTGGTGGCGGTGGAGGGATGGGGGTGGCCTGGTATACTGAGAATACTGTGGGTGCAGAGACTAGAAGAATCAGGCTGAGCTGTGCAGTGGTGTGTAGAAGTGACATTTAGCAGGGCACATGGAGAAGAGAGAGAGAGGAGTTGGAGAAAGTGGTGCTGGAGGTAAGGGTGAGTGCAGCATCCTGGCAATCAAGTGGTGGGAGAGTTTCAAACAGGGTTGTCAGCAGTGTTTTCCCTGGGGAGGGAGACTGGTCAGGGGAGAGGCTTGACAGCCTGGGAAACTGAGGAAGGGCAGAAAGCCCCAGCTGGGCAGAACACAGATGTGGTTAGGGGTAGGATTGTAGGCTGGAGGCCCGGGGGGTAATGGAGGGAGGGCGTTTCAGGGTTTAGCGTCTCCAAGAGGATAGCCCCGTGACTGTACTTGCAGGGGTGATGAGTATGCCATAGGATAGCTGAAGTGCAGTGAGGATGAAGGTCATTCCCGGAGGCGCTAGAGACATGGTAGGACCTGGTGACCAGAGAGCATACTACCCAGTGTGATCAAGTGTCCCCAGAGGTGATGGCAGGAGAACAGGCACCCCAGGGTCAAGAGCCGATAAGAATGTAGAGAGTGAAAGAAAGAGTGAGGCTCCCCCAGAAGAGAGGCTGTAGCTTACACTGTGAGCCAGGTGAGGTAAGGGACCAAAGTATCACCAGCACCTGCCTCCAGGTTAGAGCACAGCCTTGGTGCTTAGTATTGGGTTTAAAGCAGGTAAGGGGTCATCCGGGTGGGGTGCTGATCCTCCTGTCCCCGAGGGGCCAGTGGGGCACTTACTAGAGTGATCTGGTTTCACTCTTCTCCGCATCAGAGTTGGAGCCTGGGACCGTGGAACAT